ATATATATATATATATATATATATATATTAATTAAAACACATTTTACCCGCGCACGACGATGCGACAAAATAGGTGTCCTCCCTAGGCAAAATTGACGTTCCGGACGCGTTGGCGCAGTCCGTTTCGTCATCCGGGGTCGCTCGGACGACGTCGTCGACGGTCGGGTCAAAAACGCGTCGAAATTCAAATTTCACAAAAATATTGACCCGCGATCGATTGTTTCAAAAATTTCATTCGAGTCTTCGACGGGTAACAGTGCAAGCGATGTGAATTATGGCGATCGGACGTGTTGGCTCTCCGAATTGCGAAGTTTGTGCGCGCGGGAGTGCGAATTGTGCAGAAGGCCACCCTAAGGCTCAAAAAGGTCCTATAGGGGTCCCTTTTGGGTTTCCTCATGTTGGTTTCACCCTTCTAAATGCTAGAAGTCGATACCACACACTTGGAACCACAAAAGAGGACGGAAATAGGTCAAATTACAATGAGGCGGGCACCACTTCTAAGGTTCTAAGATAGTCAAAGGGAGATCCCTAAGGCTAGATCCTAAACCCTAAGAGGAAGACTAGACCTCACTAAAAATGAGGTCAACAATACCAAATAAGGGACATATGCTGTGGCGGAACGGAGCGAGCCAGCGGAGCGGAGCGGATGACCTGTCCAATCGAGGGCTTATGTGGGTTGCCGGAGCAACACTCCCACGGTACGGTACTGGGGTAATTTTGTAATTACATATTGTACACCAGGGCTATATATACATATATATATAGGCAAATTGTTAAGGTAAATTCTGTACTCTTTTCTGAAATTGAAAGTAAGTCGCCACTCTACTCCCGAGGACGTAGGCATCTTTGCCGAATCTCGTTAAATCTCTGTATTTTCTTCTATATTTGTGTAGATTCTTGTGTTTCTTCGCCCTGATTTTTCAACAAAAACCAAGCGTGAAGGTTGATCTTATCAAGCCACTGCTGAAAAAACTCGGGAGCCGTCAGCTAACTCGAATGCAATCTTTTTCACCAAGGAGCAATTAGAGCACTTGCAAAAATTAATTCCCACTTCACAATTATCCTCGACTTCATCTTGCTCTTTATTGCAAAAAGATAACTCTCTGACCACTGCTTTGTTAGGTGTCATACCTAGTTTTTCTCATTCTTGGACAATTGACTCTGGTGCAATTGATCATATCATGAGTTCTAAATTATTTTCCTCCTATAGATCTTGTGTAGACAATAAAAAAAGTCAAAATTGTCGATGGTTCCCTCTCGGTAATTGTCCAGATAAGAACTGTTAAACTCTTCTCATCGTTAACCCTTCGCGATGTTCTATATAATCCTAATATATCATGTAATGTATTGCCTATTAAAAAGATTACTACTTATCATCAATGTCAAACTAATTTATACTCTTCTTGCTGTGAATTTCAAAAATTGACCACAGAAAGGATGACTGACAGTGCTAAAAAAAAAAGATGGAGTCTACTATTGTAAAGATGAACTTGACTTGAATAGATAATGTCAAACCGCTGCTTTAAATTTTATTTCTATTTCAAAAGACAATGAAATTATGTTGTAGCATTATATGTTAGGTCATCTAAATTTTCATTATGTAAAATACTTATTTCCTAAATTATTTCATAATAAAAATACATCGTTGTTTCAATGTAAAATGTGTCAGTTTGTTAAACATCGCACAACACTTTCTCCGCAAATATACAAGCCTACTACACTAATTACTTTGATTTATAACGATATATGTGGTCCTTGTAAAGCCCTACTCACTTTGGTAAACGATGGTTTGTAACTTCCCTAATGATTACACCAAGTTAAGTTGGGTTTATTTAATGAAAAATAATATTGAAGTAAAAATAATTTTTGAAAAAAAAAACACAATGGTACAAACCTAATTTCAAACAACCCTTCAAATATAATGGGGGTAATAATGACCAAGAGTATTTCAAAAATATTTTGGGTCAATTTCTTCTTGAAAAAGAACTCATTCATCAAAGCTCGTGTCGCACTAAACAACAAAATGAATTGACGAAAAGAAAAAAAACAAACACTTATTAGAGGTCGCTCAGTTTTACTATTTACCCATTAAGTGTCTAAATAACTTTGAGGTGAAATCGTCCTCACTGCTATATTTCTAATAAACAGGACATCCAATAAGGTCATAAATTTTGAAACAACATTTGATGTTTTTCAAAATATTTTTCCAAAGAATATGCTCTCATCTTCTCTTTCTCTACAGATATCTGGTGTACTGTATTTATTCACATTCAACATAGGAAAATGTGAAACCCGAGCCAAAAAATGTGTTTTTGTTCGTTATGCTGCTAGCCAAAAGAGGCCTAAATGCTTTGATGCATAACTAGAAAAATATTGTTGCCATGGTTGTCACCTTTTTTTTAACTTCCAACACTTTTTTTTCTTCATCTTCAAGGGAGAGGACAAAATAAAGACTTGCCCACTGAATTACAGGATTTTTTTAAAAAAATTGAAGACTTTCAAAAAAGTATATCCCCAACCTTGATTGTTCAACCAAAAAATCCTAGTGAAATTTAAAATGTGACCAGACTTTTAAATATTGAAATTCCTACAATGTCATCTCATGATGTGCATGACAAAGAAGAAACATGAAAAATAACTAAGACAATGGCATCCTTTGATTTTGTCTATTCGCAATATAAGACAACTCAAAAGGTAATATCCTCACTAATAATTTAACCCATGTTCAGATAACCTCATCTTTGAGTTCCGAGTCTTCTAGTTCTGAATCTGAGTCAAGTCTGAATCCCGAGTCTAATGAGTACAATCTTTCCATTGGGAAAAAGTCTTGCACCCAACATCCATTGTCCAACAATGGTCTTATGAAAATTTCCGTGTTTTAACCACACAACTGTCATGTATGGAAATTTCACATACTGTGCAAGATGCTCTAAAAATCCCAAAGTGGAACGAGCCTATTTTTGAAGAGAAAACAACTATGAGTTGCAAATGGATCTTTACAATCAAGTATAATTTTGATGGCTCTCTAGAGCAATAAAAAGTTGGATTGGTCGCCAATAGACACACTTTCACCTATAGCATTGATTATTTAGAGACAATTGCTCTAGTTGCAAAACTGGGTTCGTTTGTCACTTGCAATTAATATTGATTAGCCCCTACAACAATTGGATATAAAAATATCTTTCTCATAAGGGACTTAAAGGGAAAAGTGTATATGGATACACCTTAGAGATTTATTAAGAAGTTTGACACAAAAATATGTAAACTGAAAAAATCCTTATATGGGTTGAAGCAGTCACTGAGAATGTAATTTGAGAAGTTTACACTATTTGTTAAAGGTCAAGGTCATACTCAAAGACAGGAGATTATACCATGTTTTTTAGAGATTCAAATGATGGAAAAATAGTCATAATGATTGTGTATGTAGATGATATTATTCTTGTAGGCAATGATGCATAAGAGATGAATCCTTCGAAGAAATTCCTATCATCTGTTTTTGAAACCAATGACACAGGATCTCTGCAATATTTCCTGGACATGGAGATTGCTCAATCGAAAAAAGGAATTGTTGTCTCCTAGCGGAAATATGTTCTTGGTCTTCTCAAGGAGACTGGAATGAGTGGTTGTAGATCTACAGATACTCCTATTGATCCAAATCAGAAAATAGGAGACGGGAATGAAGTTGACCTATGATTACAGTTAGGTATAAAAAATTGGTTGGAAAATTGATATACTTATCACATACATGGCCAGATATTGTCATTGTTAAAAGCTTGGTAAGTCAATTTATGCATTTGCCCCATGAGAAACACCTTGAAGTGGTCAACAAAATTCTCATATAATTAGAAATACACCATGTAAAGGTTTACACTTTTCAGAAAACCAGACAAAAGAACATAGAGACGTAAACTAGTGCAAATTGGGCAAGTTCATTTATTGACAAAAGATCAACTACTGAATATTGCACCTATGTGGAGAAACCTACTCAAGAAATAACTATTTGCAAGTCATTCATCCCTAGTACTCAACAAATAGCGAATATCTTTACCAAAGGACAGTTCAGACCTAATTTTGAGGTTCTTACAAGCAAATTGGGCATGACAGATTTCTATGCTCCAACTTCAGGAGGGGTGTTGAATATTTATTATCTCCTATTATTAGGATTTTCTATTTTTAGTTTCATCTATTATTGATATGTCATAATTTTTGCTTCTTTTTATTATGAGGAGTTATGACGTATTATTATTTTTCTATCATGGGAGCCATCCTCCTCTATTTAACTTGTAATTGTTTTTATATGAAATTGAAGAGAAATAATAATTTTTCTCCTCCCAAAAGCAATACATATACATACTAAGAAGCACCAGCAGTATGAAAAACAGCATCATTCCCTATGATGTTATAGGTCTAAACCCAACTACAACCAAACAAAGTGCTGCACCAACGCTAATCTGGGTAAAACCCCAATATGTCCAGGGATGGACAGAAAATTGTCCTGATTGTTTACTGGAACAGGTGGATAGTTCTCATTTTCCAAAATCTAGAAATGGAAACTTTTCGCTAATCCTGCCCAGGACATTTCCAAAAGCAATTTTAACGGCATCTCACACTGCTAGATTTCTTAAATTTATAAAAAATGCAGCAATTTGCTACTTCAGTGTCACCTCCAATAAGAAATCCAGATGAAATGTTTAAGATAAGTTAACAGAAGTATACCTTTAGTTCTGGGAGCTCAATAACGCAAGCACACTCAACCACCTCTGCTCCTGCACGTTCTGGAAAAAAAAAACAAAAAGAATTGTACAAGGCGCACTAGAAAAAAAAAAATTATACAATGAAAAACATTACTGGTCGAATAAACATAACGATCATATCAAGCCAATAGATATAAGTTTAACACTCCACAAGGCTTTGAAGGCATTAATCGCTCATCTTATATCATCCGGTGAATGATTTCCTCAGTTTGATAAAGTGTGCACAAAAAACTTTTATTCCAAAAATTACACCAATCTAAAGATTTAATTAGAATCCTGATAATGAGATAACAGACTCTAATTTAATTGAATCATAAAATCATTCAGATAGTACCAGATCACAATATTACTATTATCATTTAAAAATGAACAATTGAAAGCACTAAGCACACCTTGCAAACACTTCTTTAAGTTCTATTTAAAAAGATCAACATTCCCTAAGAGTTTTCCTTAAAAGGCCTAAATAATATTACCATTCCTGCCTCTTTATCCGAGGCTTTATAGAATACAAAATTATAAATAAGCAACAAATAAAAAAAAGGCCTTCGAAAAACCAAAACATTACCAAAAAGAAAAAGACCCACAGGATGCTTACGGGTTTACATTATGAAATATCAAGCAAACGTATCACTAGATAGGTACAAAATGAGGCTAGTGCCTAATTTTTTATAGCTATAGATTATCAATAGACATTTGCTCTAGTTGCCAAGATGAATACTATGAGAGTTCTGCTATTTTTTATAGCTAATTATGACAGGAAATTGCAACAATTTGATTTAGAAAATGCATTCCTACAAGAGAAGTGTAAAATAAAATTTATACGAAATTTCACCAAAGATTTAAGAGAATTTTGTTGTTAATCACATATTTAAGTTTAAAAGACCTATAATAGGTTGAAGCCACCTCCAAGAAAATGTGGCTTGGAAGGTTTGCAAAGGTGATGTCAATAAAGTAAAAAAACCATAATTGTTCATCAAGCACTCAAACTCAAAAGAGAGTCATGGCCCTTCAGATGCATGTGGTAATAAAACTATAACTGAAAATGATAGAAAGAAAAAAAAATCAATGCAGTATTAGCAAAAGAGTTTGAAGTTAAAATTCTAAGAATGTAGGATTTGAAGTCAAGCACTCCAAGCAAGGAATCATTGAACTCATAAAAGATACGAGAAAATTTGTACATGAATACTAGAAAATACACCAATAGATCCTAATCATAAATTTAAAGAAGTTAGGGCAAGTGCTGTAGTAGACAAGAAGATGTTTCAGCCTAGAGCAAAAGTTCATTGTGTCTAGAAGTATATTAAGTTTTACAATACATAGAAGGAACTGCAGAGAATGAAAATTTGTTCAAAATAAGTTCTAAACAAGGAGATGTATTAACAAATGAAATTGCTCATTTTTGTTAATCAGGAAAGATGGAAATGAAGCAGCTAAATTAAGAGTTTTCCATAATTAGAAACTTCCTTATTTCCAATATCTTTATTTTGATATATTTCCCTTTTAGCTAAATATTTAGATTAAATATTTAGATTAGAAATTTACCTAAAATAGATTATATGCACTTTATTTTGTACCTAAAAAAATTGTAAGATTGTTATTTAATGAAATGAAAGCAAAGGGAAAAAAAAAATCGAGCCTATTCAGATTTCAGCCTATTTTTTCTCAAAACTTTGACATGGTATCAGAGCCATGGTATCAGACATGGTATCAGAGCCAAATTTTTGCCCTAACCACCGGTAGTCATTGGAGGACCTTCAAGACTCCATTCCCGCCGGCCTTCCTACGGGAAGGGAGGAACTATTTATTTTCCTTGATTTGTTCATCAACTATGCCACCTGCTGTGATGGCAAATGATGCCAGTGCTGCTTCTTCATCATCCTCTTCTTGGTTTGGTGGTTTATTTGGTGGTGGAAAGAAGCAGGCGATTCTTGGGTTGGAAAGAAGCAGGTAAAGCAGCAAGGATTCTTGTTATGTTTGTATTATTATTCGTCCGATTCGGATTTTCTTTGTTAGGCTGTTAGGCATCGCTGCTTCTGTGGCATCTTCGACTGCTTCTTATGCTTTGCTTCGTTCGCTTCGGCTTCTGCACTCTTTCTAGATCGCTGGCTTCGGCTTCGACAAATTCGTGCTTCAACACTTTTGAGCTTTGGCACTCTTGGGCTTCGGCCTTCTCAGGCTTCGGCAATCTCAGGCTTCGGCCTCTTGGGCTTTGGTTCTCTCGGGCTTCGACACTCTCAGGCTTCGACACTTTTGGGCTTTGACACTCTTGGGCATCAACCTTCTTGGGTTTCGGAAATCTCAGGCTTTGACACTCTTGAGCTTCGGTTCTCTCCGGCTTCGGCAACTCTCAGGTTTTGGCCTATCGGGCTTCGGCACTCTCAGGCTTTGGCCTCTCGGGTTTCGACATTTTTGGGCTTCGGCATTTTTTGGCTTCGGCACTCTTGGATTTCGGCTCTCTTGGGCTTCGGCACTCTCAAACTTCGGTCTTTCGGGCTTCGACACTTTTGGGCTTCGGGACTTTTGAGCTTCGGCACTTTTAGACTTCGGCACTCTCGGGCTTCAGCACTTTCAGGCTTCGGCATTTTCAGGCTTCGACACTCTGAGGCTACGACACTCACGGCTGGAGGATATTTTTCCCGAAAATGTTATCAACTTCTTGTTGGCAAATTGATGTTTCCTGATCAGTCAACATCAATATGAGGGGGGATGTTAATCAAGAATGATTGAAATCAAGCAACTAAATTAAGAGTTTTCTATAATTAAAAGCTTCCTTATTTCCAATATCTTTATTCTGATATATTTCCCTTTTAGCTCAAAATGTAGATTAGGAATATGTATTATTAAGTTACCTAAAATATATTATATGCACTTTATTTTGTACCTAAAATAGATTGTAAGATTGTTATTTAATGGAATGAAAGCAAAGGGAAAAGGAAATTGAGCCTATTCAGATTTCAGCCTATTTTTTCTCAAAACTTTGACAATTTTTTGTCTCCAACATAAGATCTAAAATGGCTCTTTTTTTTGTCTCCAACGCAAGACAAGATCTAGCTTATACTATTGATTAAATAAGTTGGCACAAACATTTCAAGGGAAATCCATATGCAGGCCATAAATCGACTCTTACAATACTTAGAAAAAATTCTAAGAAATAAAATTGTGTTCAAAAGGAGCACAATATTATACAAATAGTTTAACAATGACTGATGAAAAGGCTCACTTGTGTCTCCCAAATAAGACTAGATCAAGCTTATGTTGTTAGTGCAACCAAAAGAAAGCAAAATGCAGATTGAAAATTATGTCATCTGTTGAAAGAAAATTTGTTAAAAAAGAAGCACAAGTTTAGCACTCGATGTCAATTATGGAGACTCTATTGTGAATAGAAGATCAAATTTCAAACATTACACAAATCTTATAACATGCAAAAGAAGTAAAATGTAGCAGGAAGACCAACCTGAGGCAGAGTCTCAAGAAATCACTCAAGGTGCTTGTGAACTATTACAATGAAAATCATTCAAGCGGACTTGAAGATTCAATAGGCTAGCGCAATGAGACTTAATTGCGATAACACATTTACAATTAACATTAGCCCATAACACACTGTGGCATTAACTGACAAAGCAAGATGTGGCACGCCCTATGTATCTACTGGTCCATAGCTTGCAGATTTACTCACTAAGAAATTAAACATTGGAGTGTTTCAAACAATGTTACCCAGTAGTCTATGAATACATGCCAAGAAAGAAAACCAGGATCCCACGGATTCATGCCAACAAAATAAAGATCCCATATATTCAAGGCAGAAAAGAAAGTATGAATGGTTGCTGGGAAACAAACTTCTATGAACAATTGAAAGATTAGGGCATCACCTAAATTTTCTCCAAAAGACTTGAGAATAATAAAAATGACTAGAAATTAAACCATAAATAGAAAAATAATCCTAAATTAAAATTAGAAAACTTTCCTTCTTCAATTTTCTGGAAGGATAGAAAAAGGAGCGGTAGAGTTTTGCTTATAACAAGTGAATCCAAATTTTAAATTTGGTTTGCAAAAAATAGGAACATATAGAAAAGGATCTTTTAAGCAAATTATAATGACATATATCAAGCGATTAAGGCAAATCGTTAAACCTCATGCGGCATAATTGTTAAAATGCAAGATGTTACCAAATCTCCAAAGGTTTACGGTGCCCAACAAAGCAGTCAAGTTGGAGAACCATAAAAGTTCACCAAGTCTCGTTGAATTACTTGCAAGTAGTCTAAAAATTGCTTCCTGTTTAAAGAGCTAAACATACTTTTTGAAAGTTGATGAAGTTCGGAGACCAATAGAACCCAAAAATTTACACATTTCTAATAATTTTTTTGGTATTTCTCGAAAACTAAATGCATCTAACACCTCAAAATAAGTTTTAGGGATATTTAAAAACGTATTACATAATTTACGAAACAACAAATAATTACATATTTATAAATAATGGGTTCAGAGCCGAAAAAATAGGTTAGGCTTAGGTTGATTTTACTTATTCGCTTGTTTGATTTCTTTACTCCCACTTCTTGCAAATGAAAAACAAAATGATACGAACAGAGCAAACTTCATCCTCACATGCACAAAAATTAGTCCTTGGAGCTTTTCTTGTGCATCTAGACAAACTAAAATAGTCATTAAACTAATTTCCATACTATATTTGATATCTTTGAATTTGAGTTTACCAAGTAAGCTCATGAGGCCAACAGATTTCTCGTCTTCCTTCATAGTTCAGTCTATATATTAGCTTGAAGCAAATATTTTAATTAAAAAATAATTTTATATTCTCCACGCTAACAGCGAGCCATACTAATAACTGTACGAAACATTGTTTGCTTATGCAATCACAAAGATTTATAAAATTATGCACCACTACAAGAGGCTTATTGACAAAAGCATAAAGATGTATAAAGAAATGCTGCACTAGTTGTAATTAAAGCTGATATAAACAGTAAGCATCCATCTAGATGTTTCATTGGTACAAAAGAAATCAAATAGAAGTAGACAATAATCAATTAGGTGGCTTGTCCCGCACTGTGAAAATATATCCTTAATGCATTTATATGACATGAATAAATACATGTGCAAACAAGATCCAATAAATTTATAGTTGCAAAGGCATGAATTCTTCCAAGAAATTCTGATGTGTATGGAAATTAACCAATCTGTGGATCAAAACTAGGAAGATGAAGTACCGATTAGCTTTATTGCAGCACGTAAGGTCCCTCCTGTTGCAATAAGGTCATCAATAACAAGAACCTGATCATTAAACTGGACAGCTCCAACATGCATTTCCATTGTATCCGTACCATATTCTAGAGAATATTCTTCTGAAATGACTTCACCTGAGGAAAACAATAGTTGCTCAACATGTAGGCACAATTTTGACATGCATAACAGCCCACATCGACGAAAAAATAATTTAAAAAATATACCTGGTAGCTTTTTTGGCTTCCTCAAAGGGACAAATTTTGCTCCAATGGCTAGAGCAATAGGAGGCCCAAAGATAAACCCTCTAGCTTCAACGCCTGTCCACATCACAAATGTATGAGGAAAAGTCTGCACGGAATATTTTTTATATGCATCAAACAAAACTTTTTTCCTATAACAGCTAGAAAACTTCGAGTTTGCATGCATGGTTACTACATCTTAGTTGGCTCACTTAATGGGTAATCAAAAGAAAAAAGAAACAAAATTATAACAGGTTAGCACCAAAGTCTGCCAGTTTTTTTCTTTTTGAAATTAAAAATAGCGTTAAAGCTGTAGAAACTGCTTGGGAGGGAAAAATTATTCCCCTTCATTATTCACATGTAGGGTAGTTATATTAGGAAAACCAATCCCTCCTAATTTACAAACATATCAAATATATCTAATCTAAATTTGGAATGGAAATAATTCTGAAATAAAAATAACAAATAACACATATAAAAAAATAAAACTAATTAAGGATTTTCAAAGATTATCTTCCAATTCAATCTTCCATGACAGGTAGGTGGCCGGCCGGCCCACCCAAGAAAGCAGTCGGTTACTTCTTGATTTTTCACAAAAGCAATTCAAACCTCAATTAAAAAATAGTTCTTTATTTGAATAGCTCTTCTAATTCCTTTGCCAAGGTGCTGAATCAGGTATAAAATACAAGAAAATAAAAATACGCATAAGTTCATACATTGTTCAGAGTCGGGCACGAGGATGCTGAATGTTTTAGGACATATTTATTTATATATTTAATGAAAAAAATCATAGGCAAAAGTGGTTAGATTTTATGAGGATTTAAATTGTTTGCTTGCCCAAAAGAAAAACAAATGAAATGAAAAAATACACTTGTTGCTTCAGAACTTGAATTTTTGTAGTAGCCAGCTTGATATTGAACTTATTATGCACTACATAAGTTAAGTTTATTGTAGGTACGACAATAAGTGCTATTTGAACTCTATGTATTGTATACTTAAATCTACAATGAATTAATCATTGTTTATAGATTTATGGTAAAATATTGACAAACTTCTTTAGTGAATTAATCTTGTATTTTGTATATGACGTGTTTGCAGAATTATTTGATTCATCTTAATAAAAATTGTTTGCTGCCTAGAATTGGAAGCATCAAATAATCTTGGAAGAATAAATTTATGCTTTTCTTTAAATAAATTAATATGAATATATTTGAAACAAAAATAGACTTAAATTGCATTTGAAATCACTATGAAGCAGGCTATAATGTGATCCTGCTGATTTAATTCGCATAGATATAATGTCTAATTAATTGGATTATCTCTAATTGTTTTTAGAAAAAACCTAGAGGTAGCTTCATACATGATTGACATCGAGAAGATAGATTTTTGATCAATGAGAAGTCAAATTAAATCATTCTGGAAGATTGTTGAGAAGAAATCTAGAGCTTAGAGTTTGTTATTAGAAGTTTCTTTGTATTAAAATCACAGTTTGAAAAATCTCCAATCAAGTATTTTATTAAAAATTACAGCTCATTTATATTAGTAAATTGCATTACAAGGGCAATGTCATGACCCTGCCTGCTAGTTTAGAATTAACCAAATCAGAACCTGCAATTAGATGATATTAACATTTCTTATTATTTTATTTTATACAAGTTATTACAAAGAACAATCAAAACTTCTAATAATAAGAAGAGCTACCAAGAAAAACAACAAACTACACTAAAATTTAAGCAAATTCAACATCTGAAAGTAAATCAGTAACGTAACCAACATTACTTGAAAATAAACAGTATAAGAAACTAGAACCTTAACAAACAACCTACTATCTAGTATCAGTAGTTCTCTTGTAAATCAATTCCCTCTTGTAAGTCATATCAATCAAGAGTTTTGCCTATAAAAACAACTAATTTTAAAAATAAATTTACCACAACTTAGTGAGAAATTACAATCTTATTATGCATCAAATTACTATATAAATATCATGCAAGAATGTCCCAAATAAATGTGATTCATTAATTAATTAAATTGTAAGCTTTCATTGCAAATTAATTCTTCTTGTTTCAATATAAGTACTTGCCTTATTAATATTTTTAAGAAGTAATATCAGGATCATCGTCATACCCAAATATATCCTCAAAAAGATGTACCTGTGGTTACTATCGAATTTGTACACGAAAATATCCTAAAAAATTTGCACGGGAAGGTACAAATTTATCATTTCCTTTTTCTTATTCATGCATCGGTACAATAACATCCCCAGTTAATACTATAAGGTGGTAAATCCTGATTGACCAAATCATTAATATTTCATTTTCTTTTTATTATATCCATTTAATGTCATTGAATAACCTTTATTTTTTCACGTTTCATTTATTTTCATTTTAAAAATTCTTTAACTTTCAATAAGCAAATAATAAGAAAAACATGTATGTTTAAGATAATAAAGCAAGTCCTATTTAAATAAATCATTAATTTAATAAAAATAATAAAGTAATTACTTACATTAACTCTTCAAAAACCTCTTTATAAGCTTATTCCTCCACTTTCTTCTCCTAAAATTACCTATAATCATTAAAAGTGCATATATAAAAATTTTATTTCCAAAATAACTCTCTAACATATAACTCATTAATTTAAATATTTCTCCCGAATCACCTTTTAACCAAATATTCTTACATGAAATTTATATACTCTACTTAATGACATTTAATTAAAATCACAAATATAAATAATACATAAGTTTTCACCTCTTACTCCATTAAAGTCACTTATCCTAAATTTTCAATCCAAGATCCTTCCTCTTTTACTTCTAACCCAAATAATAAAAAATGGTAATTAGTACATTCAATTAATTATGCAAAATTCTACATTTAAATTAACCATAAACATACATCAATTATCTCTCTTTTTTGCACAAATACTGATCTCTATCTTCCTCCAATCTAAGATATTTATATCCTCAATCCTCCTTCAACTAAACCTACACGAGCTCTTCTCACAAGCGAGCCATCACCTCCTCTTCCTCTTACTTCCTTTCGTGTGTAGAGATTCACCCACTCTAAACTATAAGGGTGCCTACTTAATTCTCCTTCCTTTGTGCACAAAGGACACACACAGGGCTCCTCTCTAAAATTTGATTCTACTAAGGTTGCACACACAAGGTACACTTCACGCCTGCTGTGGCTCCTCCTCGTCTTCTCCTTCGTACAAGACATGCATTGCCTTTTTGCAAGCCAAGACAACGCAACGACCCTCGTGCTTGTCTCCCTGTCGGCTTCAACACCCTCAAGTGAATCTACTACAAGCGACAATACTGTCTTCTCCCCAAGCATCCACACAAGATATACAATGTTACTAGCCCAAGCAAATCTTTACTTTTTTCCTCTTTGTTTTGTTAGTTTATACATATATTTCACCCTATTTAGTGTTTAATCTATTAGAAAGAACACTAAAAACAAAATCCTTATCAGAAAAAATTTTTCTTTTAAACTCCCTAAAAATCACCTTAATCTTTAAAATTTTATATTGAAACAAATTTTTATAACAAAATATTTATATTTTATGTTTTCTTGCACAATATTATTCCATCAATGCTTATTTTTATTTATAAGAGCTTTTCTTTTTGTTCCCTGAGTACAACTTTTGCAACTTTCTTAATAGTGATTGTTAATTTATCCCACATAACATTAATTTCTTCGTTAACATCTCAAATCATAAGATCTTAAAAGTGTGCTCATAAAAAAAATTTATTTGCGTCTTTGAAGTTCCTTTATCTAATTCTAAGATAATATTTTGTCCTATTTTTATCTTCAAATCCTATATCTTAAAAGTTAAAACCATTAATCAATGTTGGGTATAAATTTTCATTTGGAATAATCTTATAATCTTTACAATCTCTGCGATAAATTATTCTCATTAAAAAATAATCAATTTATATTTTATTAAAATCATTCTTATAAGTTTATAAGTGATAATATGTTCATCTCTTTTCTTAAATAAAAAATTAGCAATGACAAAATTATAGGTTAAAACAAAATTCAAAATGACTATATATTCTTCAATAGCCACTCCAAAATCATATCTATCATGAGAATTTCTAAAATTTTCTATCACTCTGCCAACAATGGACATTTAAAACCCCTACATAATTTTTTTTTTTCAAGACACCCTTTGTATTAATTATTGTAGATTATTCTAAAATTTTTATTTTAAATATATATCTAAACTTACTCTAGGAGCATAAAAACTTATAATATTAAGAATTTTCATACCAACAACAATCTTTATGACTATAATTATATCATAAATTATATTAATTATTACAATATTAGTTTTCAAACTTTTATATATAATTACAACTACATTATTTTTAGTATGACTCTACTAAAGTTTAAAACCTAAGCTATATCTCTTTAATATTTTATCTAACTCATTTAGTTTCTTGAATACATAAGATATTTATCTTTTTATGAATCATAATATCTATTAGTTTTAGTAATTTACCTGTGAAAATACATATATTTCAAGTTCGTAATACAATATTAGTTTCATAGACTAACTTATTTGCCCACAAACATCCATATTGTAAGAATTCTTGCTTCTTAAAGCTACACAAGGGGACCTGTGCAGCGACCCTTGCATATTTTTTACCGCATTCAGGTCATGCAACGCATCGCTTTAGGGGATGCTATAACATTTACACAATGATTTAAGGATTTCATGTCATGATTTTTTTTCTAAATTTTACACTAGTTATCGATTACCTAAAGCAACCATTCACTTTTCACATCCGGAGCTTAGGACCCAGCAATGGCAAACCCCAAATTACATATGCATAAATAGGTGCATAAAAATAATAAAAAACCAAACCGCCACAGATCCTTTAAATTTTTCCTCATAATTTAAGTTACTCTGCATGTGTCGTACTATTAACTTTTCAGCCAAAGCCCAATAGAATCTGAGTCACAAACTCGGATGTAATAATATAAGACTTATAAATCAAATTGTTGAATAAAAATAAGACCGCCCAACACCTACGGTTAAAGGGATTGTTGAATATCACCTTACTGCACTAC